GGGACTAAATCATTGAGGAGGACGAACCCAGGGGTTGGGGGAAAAACCCAGGGATCCCAGGGGGCTGGGAAGCAAGGGGCCCGAGTGGGAGCTCTGGGGGTATCAGTGCTGCAGGGTCCTTGTGAGGGGATGCTGGGGGGGGGCTCTGGGGGTGCCTGGAGGGGCTCTGGGAGTGCTGAGTGGGATCTGGGGATGCTGGGAGAATAGTATGGGGGAGACTATGGGGGTTCCCAGGGTGTCCCTGGGGGAGTTCCAGGGGGCTCTGGGGGTCCGCACCGCTGCAGCTCCTGCCCATCCTCCAGCAGAGCCTCCAGGTGGGCAAAGCCGAAGGCGCGGTAGAAACAATTCCCGTCTGGACGTGTCTTCCGGATGTAGGAATATTTCTGGAGCAGATCCTGGGAGGCAGAGGGGGCGTGGGGACACTGTGGGGGTGGGGGAACACCCCCGGGACACCTGGGCTGCTTCCAGTCCTGTGTTGGCGTCCCAGAGTAGCTCCCAGTCCCATACTGGTACTATTCCCAGTACCACACCGGTATCCCAGTGCCTCCCAGTATCTCCCAATGGCTCCCAGTGCTGCACCTTGATCTTCTCCTGGTACACGTGGTCATCCTCGGCGTACTCCTTGTAGAGCTCCGAGAGCTCCAGGCGCTCCGACACCAGCGGGTTCTGCACTGCAATCTAGGTGGCAAGATTGGAGGGGGTCAGGGACTGTGGGAGGACTGGGGACCCCCACGGGGGGTTGGGGAAGTTTGAAGACCTCCGTGAGGGTTTTGGGGCAGACTCTGAGGGGGTTTAAGGGAGGGTGTTGGGAGGAGTTCTGAGGGGTCGGGGGTTTCCTCACCTCCTGCTGGATGCGGTCCTGCTGCGCCATGATCGCCTCGTCGTAGGCCAGGCAGTTCACGCCTGGGGGGACATGAGGGGTCAGCGGGGACCCAGAGCGGCTCCTCAGCTCCCCAGGGGGGTCTGGGGAGTGGGGACGCCTCCCGAGTGGGTCCTGGGGATAAGGCGGAGTCCGTTGGGAGCCCGGGGAGGGATGGAAGGGGTCTTGGAAGGGTTGGGAGAGGGGGGTTAAGGGGTATCGGGGCATCGCGATGGTGGGGGGGCGGGGGGGAGAGGCTATATAGGCCCCCTGGGAGGAACGGCGAAATCCCGGGTTGGGGTTCCGGGGCCGCAAGGCGGGGGGCCGAGAGGGGCCTCGGAGGGGCCCGTCGGTACCGTCCGCGTCGCTGCCGCCGAGCGGCTCCGGTTGCGGCTGCTGAGGCTCCTCTGCCGCCATCGCCACTCTGTCCGCGCCGCTTCCGGGGCACCACCCGCCGCTTCCGGGGCACCTGCGGCGCCGCTTCCGGAGCACCGCCCGCCGCTCCCGGGAAACACCGGCACCGCCCGCCCGTTCCGAGACACCGCTGGCACCGCCCGCCCGTTCCGGGGCACCGCCCGCCGCTCCCGCTACGCCCGGCACTAGCAACAGGCCCCACCCACGGAGACGGCCCGGGAGCCGCGTGGCTCCGCCCCCGAAAACAGGCTCTGCCCCCGCGGCGGAGGCCCCGCCCCTGTCAGGGAGAGCACCCGGCCCGAGCGTTGGCGGCGCAGGCGACCCTCATCGGGTTTTGCGGTCAAGAATAACGAGGACAGACAGGAGGGAATCGGGCTCCAATTAATAATGATTTGATGGGCGTACGAATCATTCCCGGCCGTTTACAGTTCCTGCGCCGCGCGGCTCACGTAGGTCCCGCCCCCCGGCTCGCGCCGGCCCCGCTCGAGCGCTGATGGGGCCGCGTCTGCCAGGCCCGCGCTATTCAAGGGCGGGCGGGGCCGGCGCAGCTGCGGCTTTTTGAGCGTCGGGCTGAGCTGGGGCAGGGCAGGGAGAGTGTCGTGGGTGCTGAAGCAGAGGCCTCTTCAACTGATGGTCAGCCTAAAAAGGTGCAAGGACAGCAAGTTTTGATGATAGGATGAGGTGGCAACCAAGGTGAAGTGGTACAGAGAAAAGCTGAGCTTCAGATTGGTCCTCTGCCACAGCAGTCTTGTGGAGTGCTTGTTGCTGTGCCTGACTGTGGAACGGTAGTGGATGTTTCCACGGGCTGCCTTGTGCTGAGGAACACTGGGGTCAGTTCCCTTTCCCTGGGCAGGGCAGGCAGGGCCCTGGAGGGTGGCTGGATAAGACTTGATCACCAAATGCAAACAGTAAATAGAGGAGGTCCATTGGTGACCTTTGGGCATCCAGTAGAACAACTCACTGCTCACCTCTGGGGGCACATATTTACAGCATTCTCACCATCTGATAGGAAGTTTTTGAACACTTTATTCCATCCACTAATCATAGTAATTACACTGATTTTATGAACAATAGGGAGTTGTTGTCTATGGTATCAGCTCCTAGAAGTTGTTTCTCGCATGTGTCTATCCTGACCGGGGATCAAAGGACCAAAGGGAAAGGATGAGAAGTTCCCCAAGAATTGCTGCCCAGGGGCTGCTGCCCCTGAGGAACAGGGTGAAGGCTGTCTGTGCTCAGGTGCCCTGGCTGAAGTGTGCGGTTGGCGTGCGTGTTGCCGCAGAAAGGCAGGCCGGGTGTGTGCGGCCATTCCGTGCCCTCCACCCTTGGCCATGCCGGAGCACCCGGCCAGCGCTCCAGGGGTGGCCAACTTGGAGCTAAGGAGAAGCTGCCCGTGCCCACGGCTGGACAGTGCCAGGCCTGGCCTAAAGCCGGCTTTGTTGGTCAGAGTCTGGCCAGCGGGAGCCTCTTGTAGCCGCCTCGCAGCCTCCCCTGCCAGTGAACACACCGGGTAGGAATTGTGGCAGTTCCCGGAGGCTGCGGGTTCGGCTGCACCAGGGCTGCCCAGCTGCCCTGTGGGCTGGGGGTGGAGCGTGAGGGGGCTGTGGGGGAGGGATTTCTGCTTAGCCACAGTTCTGTCTCTCAGGGCAGTCAGGATTTGATGCCTTGCTCATTTTCTTTTGTATCCCATAAATCTGTATCTGATGTGTTGGATTGGGTTTGTTTAAACTGTTCCTAATATTCTATGACTGGTGAGTTGTTTCCTTGAGTGCCCTGCCTGTGGGCACCACAGCAGGTGTGTGCAGCAGCTGGAGACTGGGCAGGTTTGGGGGCTGTGGTGTCCCAGCTCCCGTTGCCATCCCTGCTGAAGGGTGGGAACTGCACAGAGCCAGCAGTGTCCAGCTGGAGGATCCAGGAGGATGCAGCTCTGCTTTTGTGGGAGGTAAGAGGTGGGGGTGCAGGAGCTGGAAGGGGTGTTCTCCAGGCAGAGGGAAGGAAGGATCAGGGAGAACTGCAGCCCCTAGCAGCTCGGTCAGTGCTGGATGAACTCGGGGCTGGGAAAGGTCACTCAGTGTGAGGGCAGGTGAGAGCCCAGGGTGGCTCTGGCAGCCCTGGGGCTGGGAACAAGTCCAGTGGGCAAAGGAATGGACACGGGAGAGCTGGGCAAACAGCTGGAGGAGTTTCAAGGAGAAGCAGGAAACTGGACAATTTGCAGCAGCTCCTTCTGTGTGTGTGTGCGTGTAACCAGGTCTAGTGCAGCCACAAGTGAGGTGGGAAATGAACCGCAGGAGGCCGGGAATGAGTCCCAAAAACTGGTTACAATGGGATTGAGTCTTCCCAAGTGTCTGAAAAGCTTTGCTTTAACTTGGCTTTATAAACTGCAAACTGAAGTGATTGTCAAGGTGTTGGCCCTTGCTGTCCTGTGTCTTTGAAGTGTTGACTCAATACCTTAATTGGAGCTGCTGTTGTATGAACAGGTGCTCCTCATTTGCCTTTAAGGTCCTGGTTTGTTCCCTTCTTCTCCCAGCTTGTCCAGGAGATGGAATTCCACTACTACAGTATAGATGGCTTGTGATGCTCCTAAAAGGAGCCTTTCTACCTTCAGGAGAAGTTCTGGTGCCACTGGAGCTGTTGGGAGAAGCGGAGGGTCGGCAGTGACAGGCCTGGAATGCTGTTGCTGTGGCACAGACGCTGCTCCCTGGCAGGTTCTTGGGTTGGATTCCTTGGCTGCCACTTGGTAAGGCCTGGAAGGGCCTCAGTTGCGGGGGGAACAAAACATGGAATGGGAAAGTGTGGAGGGGGGGTCTCTGGATAGTGTGGCTCAAAAATGGTTAACAGAGAAGAGGCATTGAAGGATGGTGTCCTTGGAAGTTGTCGAAGTGACAGAGAATGTAGCAAGATGGGAATGTGGCAGAGAGAATGTAGCAGGGAGGGAAACCGAGAGTCTAAAAAGGGAATTTGGTACTAAGATAAAGAAAAAGGGACTAAAACTCCAGACATAACTTCAGCAGTATGTAAGCAATATTAAAGGCCAACCAATCCTGAGCTTAGCTTCTGCAATATGTATGAGCTTATTACACGTTATAAAATGACTGCCTTATAGGTAATAAATCGAACACGCTTATTGATCGTGAGGTCGTTGTGTGTTCCTCCGTCTCCACAAATGGTGACCCCGACGTGATACCCCGACGTCGGAAACCACGGTGAGGATGGATTAGAGTGGGACTCCAAGCAGCGGGAGTCGGTCACAAAAGACGGCTTCGGAATAACAGCGTCTCGGACCCAGAGTGCTGTACAGACAGGCTCTGCCTACGTGCTGCCGAACCCTGTAAAAGGCTGCAGCGAGCTCGCATCAGATATGGAAAGGGAAGCAGCATATAGTT